CCTTCCTACAAATGAATTCTAGAAAGTGTTAAAATTAATTTAATTTAAAATAATCAGTATTTATGAAAAAGCCCTCGTAGATAATGACTTTGTTGTGCTGACAGTTGTCAAATAATAAATAAAGTACGTTCCAAAATAATAAATGTTATTTTGGGTTAATTATAAGGATTTTTAAGCGATTAACCGCGCGTTACAAAGCGTGTAACCGTGTTATAAACGGTAACTGAAAATCTCTAACCTTTGAAATTTTAGCGAGGCAGCGGTAATAGGGGAACTTATTATGACGTCAATAGTGGAAATCGATGAAGTCACGCATTTATAACACGGTATTGGATTCAGTAACCTATGCAGGACCTGGGTTACTGGTGGTTATAGAACATTTGACAGTTGGATTTTATTCAAATATGGGCGTTTGGGTTTTACCTCACTCTAACGTAAAACCCGAAAATTAGGAAACATTATTGCGGGACGTGGACGTGGGTTTCTGGTTGTTAGTTTAAACGTAAAAGGTGAAAGACACGCTCAGTAAGGTAGAACGTGTGATATCCAATCCATTCCTTGGAGATCCGGGGGACCAACAGGGCAGAAAATATTGAAATTTTAACTGAAGTAACTTTAAACAATGAAGGGAAGGATTACACCGTCTGTGTTCTTTTGGACAAAGCGAATATACTTTTTAATGTTAAAAAAATATGTGTACTGGTTTCTTGTTTCAGGTACCTACGCAAAGAGTACATTTTTAATAGTTTTCAATTTCAATTTGATTATTGTATTGATAATCCCGCCATCGCCATAGGTTTTTTGCTTATTGTGTGCCAATTAGGCGCCATTTTGGACAAGTGTTTGGTTTGCTTAATAGGTATCTATAACCTCACTTTTGTATGATCGCTTTCTATTAGGCAATTCAAACCACGTGACATTCAAGATAGCGTGGCGGCCACACATGGACCAAAAAACACAAAAAAATATCTAGTTTCTGCCCGACTAATAGTTTACGTACCTAGTAAACATATATTGTATTGAATAATCAAAATCAAAGCTGCAAGCACAACTCGAAGCAAAATAATTGAAATATGTATGAAAATACGTGTTCGAAACAAACTTGCTGGCCGCCACGCCATATTGAATTTTTCGTTTTGATAGATGGATTGAATTGCCTAATAGCTGGTTCGTTTTTGCGAAAAAGAGAATAACAAACTTTATTAGGTGGGGGTAATTTTGACAGAACACCAGTAGTGAGGGTAATACCCGTACGGTTATAGCTCGTGATAACACCGTTACAAATGGTTACTTGCTAAAAAATCCTTAATTATTAACCCAAAATAACATTTATTATTTTGGAACGCACTTTTTTTTATTATTTGACAACTGTCAGAAAAACAAAGTCATTATCTACAAGGGCTTTTTTATGAATACTGATTATTTTAAATAAAATTAATTTTAACACTTTCTGGAATTCGTTTGTAGGAAGGTGATAAAGACAAACTATGTGTAAAAAATCCTCAGAAATCGATTTAATGTATCTTGAATATACCGTTCCATTTGAAAATTTTAAGAAAAATTGGAAACATTTAATTGTTTCCAAATATTGACCCATAGCGTCAGTCCTACTAAGCAGAATTTGAATTTTTCACAACAAAATTAAAGAGCAGACTTTTTTGTTTCCAACGAACCTAAGATCGACCAGATTTGTTGAGTCGTTTTGAAGTTATCCGCTTTCTTGAGTTGCAATATTTGACAGCTCATAACTGTCTTATCCGATAAGTTATGGTAAAAAGTCATAGATCAGAATTGTGTGAAATTTCCTCAAGAATCGAATGCTAGCATTTTTAAGATACGTTTCCATTCGAAATTTCGAAAATAAAACCATTTTTGTACTTTGACAGTTGGGTTACGCCCCCTTGCGGTCATTTTAGAAAGCTGAAATATATTTCCAGCATTTTCTCTTGGCCATATTTATGGAATAATTTTTTTCCGACAAGACTACGATAAATAGTTTTTGAGATATGGCCGAGTGCCATTCTTAATGAATCACCCTATTACAGCATGAAAATAAATTTGAATTTGAATTCATTGAACCACTAATCAGAACAGATTTTTTGATACTAATACCTGCTCTGTTGTCATTTTGTTAATCTTTTGCAAATTGAAAACAGTTTAAACATTATTACAGGTATGATTTAAAAATGTATTTATGTTCGAAAAATAGCAGTGGGCCATATTTTTATGACAGTCTATATACAGGGTTGTCGTTATGGATGGAAACGGCCTAATATTTCAGAACGCGCTCAAGAAAAATGAACCATCGTCACCAAAAGTAACTGGGACAGCATCCTATTAGCTCTTGTACTATTATATGAATTTTATTGTCAAATATTTGTCAAACTATGAATTAAATGCATTGAAATGAATGACGTTAGAATTAGTCCAGGAGATTATTATGCATTATTTTTGTCCCAGATACTTTTGGTGACGATGGTACAATATATTACCAGGAGCCTTATTTTTCAAACAGAGGAGCAGCGTTCCCGGGAGAAAGAGTGTTCCATCTTTGTTACCTATATTATCACTTGCATATCATTGAGAAAGACGGAACACTTGTTCTCCTGGGAACGCTGCTTCAGGAATGAGGGGTTTTTGGGAGTGTCCGATTTAATGATGCTATCTGCCAAGGATAATACACACTACTACTACAGGATAGCCTATCCTCATAAAGCCTGTGTAGTTTAAATCTCAAGTCCCCCACCATGCCAAAGCACCAGAGATGACCTAGCAGCATGTCGTTTTTCGCCTTAACGTAGGGTGTTTGCACCACAGGTTATGATTTCGCAGGCTTTGGCTTTATGCATACTTGGTTTTACTACAATAATTAACATTCTAAAACAACTCTTTTCTGGATCTCGTTTTCATCTTCCTCTCTGCCTATTGTGTTAATCAAAATTAAATAATATTTTTCATCATAAATTTAAATTCTAAATTACAACCGCTGGCGTAAACAGCTGACGACTTAGTAACTGACGTCGAAAATGGTGCTATACTAAGATGACGGCAATTACCAAAAATAAGACTGATACGCAATATTTAGTAGTGTGTATTATCATTAGGTATCTGCAACATTGCATACCGTTTCCAAGATGCCCTATGTGACTTAAATTTTTCAAATGAAAGTTCCTCTTTATTTTTATTGTAAATAATTCAGCGTACCAACATTGCTAAACCCCCTCAAAGCCAAAAGTCCATTTGACTTGGTTTTTTTAAATATGGCAACGCAGATTATTTGTTCAAATGTATGGAAACGGTCTCATAGTTCAGAACAGAGGTTTTAGAACAATGTACAATATCGCCTACCGCCCCCCCTATAAATCTTGATACGCAATATTGGTGATTGAATACATTTCAACAAAAAAGCTGTATTGCCATATTTCCAAAACCAAGTCAAATGGAGGTTTAGCATTTAGTTGTTTTGGAATATTGGAACGCTGAATTAATTACAATAATTAATTACAATAAAGACTTTCATTTTAAATTGGGTTACATACGGCATCTTAGGAACGGTAAACTTGGCAATATTGCAATAACCACCATTGAATCGGGCATTCCCAAAAACTCCCAGATAAGTGATATTGTACATTTTCTCTAAGCGCATTATGAAATATTAGGTCGTTTCCATACATAATGAGAACCCAGTAGGTATATAAAAAACCACTTTATAAAGGACATGGCACTAAATATTAGAATCCTGGTGATCGGCCGATTTTTTTAAAACTGCAGTATGTTATTCTATACCTGAAAACAAGTATTTCTGCTTATGGTCACTTCTTCGTACGAGTATGGGATATCCCACAAAATTGAGTTCAAAGTTTTTATATGAAATATTTTCTTTGGAGCATAAACTTATGTTTAACCGTTGTTTAACTGATCTGTTATGTGATTTTGCAACTTATACATTAAAGACAAAGCTATTTATGTAGTTAAGGACAAACATTATTATACAGGGTATCTCTAAAATTATATTTTAAACCAAACTACTCTCTAAAGAAAGCCAATAACCAAAACAACTGCTACAAAACTATAATAACCTAAAATATCAATAATAACTAGAAACATTGTTACAATGATCATCAGAGACTATTTGAAGTAGCTGCTGTTCTTCGGAAACGATTTGGATTTAATACTGTAGAAATAGATCAACAAATACAAAAATATGCCATATACGCCCAGTTTCACAATTGGTGGTAGCCTCGTGGTAACCTGCACTGGCTATCGGACTCATATTTGCGGGTTGACTACATGGAATATTCTGAAGCTGACCAAAGGTTTTAGCTAAACCACACATTAGGAAACAGATATATTGTAGGTTACCAGTGTCTTGTGTTTACCGTTGGGTTAGGTACCACTGTTTGTGAAACTGGCCCTAACTGTGTTGTTAATACAACAGACCAATACATATTCAAAATCATTAAACCGATACATCAAACATTCGATATAAAAACTTTGAACTCAATTTTTTTAACCGTTATTTTGGTTATTGGTTTTCTTAGAGTGTAGTTATTCGAAGTATGTTTCTTATATTTTCAACTTGAATTAAACAGGATCACATACATAGTCAAAATTAGAAAAAATATTGTGTGAAACATGTTGGGAAACACTATTTTTCGTAACTCTCTTCCGCAGAAATCAGTTTGTTACGAAAAATAGTGCTTTTCCCAACTGGTTGCACAAATAACTATTGTCTTTAATGTATAAGTTGCAATAATACATAACGGATTAGATAAGCATAGTTTATGCTTCAAACAAAATATTCCATATAAAAACTTTGGACTTAATTTTCTGGGACATCCCATACTCGTGCAAAGAAGTGACCATAAGCAAAAATGCTTGTTTTCAGGTATAGAATAACATACTGTAGTTTTAAAAAAATCGACCGATCACCAGGATTCTAATATTTTGTGCCATGTCCTTTAGAGAAACAACAAAATTGAAGTAAACATCACACTAACCTGTTGTAAATATTCTTTGTCCGGTGCCACGGCTTGTTCCCAACAAACCCGGCCGTCATCAAATTGCTGAAAGTACACTTTAGTGTCTTTCAAAAAGTTTTTACCTAAAACAAACAGTTCCAAGCCGCCACCTGCCGGACACGAAGTCAAGGACTTTTTGCATATTTCTGGAATGCCAGGAGGCTGAGCTGAAAAGCAAAACAAATAGAATTTAGAGCTTCTGCGCTACTTAAATAATTACTGCGCATTTTTTTTTGTCAATATTTGGATTTGTTTCAATAAAAGTTTAACGATTTATCATAAAATTTTCAAAGTAAAACTATTCAGTTTAACTGCCAAGAAATTTCAAATATTTACAATTCAAAAGCAATGAAACAAGCTACTCACTGCAGACTATAGGCTGGGAACACACTTGTAATGTCTCAGTACTGTCATTGTCGTGCGTAATCGTCGTTCTGAAAATCATACGGCATCTTGTTGATTTTTTCTTACTCCTATTCCCTAATTGTTCAGGGAATCGATGCTCTACATCCACATTTCTTTCCTTTAAAATTCCTACACAATCACAAGTGGCACACATATCTTTAGTAGGATCCAGAGCCAATTCAATCACGCAAGTACCATCGAGTTTTTTCTCTACACATGGTGTAGAGTTTTTACCGCTTACTTTACAGGCCTGATAAAACATGTGTGGGGATACTTTACCAACATCAGTACCAATATATACCTAAAAAAAATATGATTTTTTATTTGTCCCTAAAAAAAATCATTGCAAAAGTTCTTACTTGAAGAACAGCTGGTTTATAATAACCAGTCAATTGAACAATGGGAAATCCATTTCCTTCTCTATCTTTTACGGCCCCTCTGCTTCCTTCTGTTTGATATCGAGCTCTGTGCTGTTGCTCTGGCTGTTTTATAATTGTTAACGCCACATCACCGTAACGTGACGTAGAAGTTAACTGTGTAACAAGGGATATAGGTGCTGTAGGCGCTTGCCTGCCTATAATTGGAGTACATCGAGGCACAGCTCTTCCTGAAGAAGCCCTCGAACTATTCGATATATTCAGTGCTGGTACTGAACCAGATGGAGCAGTTCGTATTAATCTAAAATTAAATGTATTTTTATGAAAAAATAATAATAAGTTACATATAACATGACATACGATATATTATTGTTGTCTTTGCATTGCATAGGAGCATTTGGGAAACAATAATTGCCGTTGGCTTCTTCATGCTCAACTTTGATGTTCGTACAAAGTCTTTTGGCTCCGGATCTCTCCCCTGTCCAGGCTAGACGTTCGGACATGGTCATCGTGTGGTGATGAGGATCTGCGTGATGATCAAATCTGGGAAAAAAATGAAAAGTAGTTTTTAGATAAGCCGCAAACAACTGTATTTTGTGTTGCTTTTGCTAAGCAGGCAGTTTTTGAGGACATTTACATTAATTTGGAATTCAACAATATTTTGACGAGCAATAGCATTATCCTGGATTAGTTTTAGGAAAACAATATTTTGTTTACACACAAACAAAAAAATACTACAATAATACACAAACTACAACCTAAAGTGTGTCTTGACCTTCGAAATAAACTATAGCACTCATCCTCGTAACTGGTGCCAAGTTTATGGGCGAATTAAAAATAGATCTTTTCCTCATTGTATATGAATAATAAACCCACATGAGATAATATAAACTTTGTCTAAAGAATCCAAAATCAAACGACAATCATCCAATTGGAAATTATGCCTTCTCGCTTGTCGTTATTATCCCAAAATTCGTAAATTATTATAGATCAAGAGATAAACCAAATAAACAACTTTCACCAGTTCAATTTCAACTTTCAAACGCATAAAAACATAATAAGGAATTTGAACTCCATTACCAATAATAGTTACAAGCGATTAAATTTCAATTATCGGCTCTTTTAATGACTCGATAGAGTTGAAAACAGATGGCGCTATTGGTAAAAGTTTAATTTTTGCTTACTGCACCAAAGTGCATCCTGAGAGAATTGGGACAACTTGACCTACACATTCTCATTTTTGTCAGTTCCTATGTGTGCTAAAAAAATGATTACAAAACAAATCTTATTTTTCAAGGCAAGGACGTTAAACCATTACCAGCGTGGTAAAATCCGGAATTTTTGATAGCGAGTTTGTTTGTTCCAATAACTGGTTGGTGGCGAAGATAATTTACAGGTTTTGCTTTTATAAAAGACTGCGCATTACATTTGTGGTGTTTAAGCTAGAAGAAGTGCAATGATTCATGATCATTTTTTAAATATTTATTATTATTTTTGTTTCGTTATTTATTTCATTTTAAGACGCTAGTCACCTATGTTATAGCCATTTATATAATAAGTTACGAAATGAGAATCTTTTAGGCACGCGACGTGAAAATTGTGCAACGAGGCGAAGCCCAGTTGGACTTGGACAACACGTTAAGTGACTAAAAGACATCGTTTTATAAAAATAATTATTCTATTTCACGTGAAGCTTAAAATTTAAAAGGAAACACCCTGTACATATAATTTTATTTTTTCTGTTAGATCTCCCACAGATCCCGCGGCACTCTGCCATCGTCCTGTGTACTTTACATTTCGTCATTAACTACTACCACAGAAAATATAGTTCACACTGAAGTGTGAACTATATTTTCTGTGCATTTTTATATCGATACCATTAGAAATATTTTCATCAATTCAAATTTTATAGAACTAAACGAATAAGTGTGAAGTCTTGAATAATTTTCGAAATGTCAACGTTATGTTACCCAATGTAGTAGCACCACTGATCTCAAAAATAAATGGATAAACAAAGAACGCTTCTAATGCTGCTAATTTACGAGGTCATAATCTAAACAAAAACAACTGACTCGGACAGCTGTGAGCGTGCGCAGTAGATACATGTACTGTGTGTGCACAAAGTCTGGCCCATGAAAATGAAGGAATTTCAAAATTTAGAACAGTTGTTCGAAAGATAAAACACTGCGCAGCCGTTAGGCTGTTCCGTTGCACAACTGTTCGTAGAATATTGACCCCAAATTTTCGCACAAATTTTGCCGATCAAGCCGTATGATTGTTTATCAATTTATTTTTTAGATCAGTGGTGCTACTACATTGGGTAACATAACGTTGACATTTCGAAAATTATTCAAGACTTCACACTTATTAGTTTAGTTCTACAAAATTTGAATTGATGAAAATATTTCTAATGTTATCGATATAAAAATGTTTTTATCGGTTATTTTCAAGTAATTGACCACTTTTATTGGTAGTGGGTGAGATGGGGTTCTAGAATTTTTGTACTTTGTGATTCGCTTCTATAGATACTGTAGCGACGCGACTCTAACTTGAAATCTAGAAAATACTGCCTTATTCGGGCAAAGAGATTATCACGTTTATTCTGGATTTTACAAGAATGGATTACAGGTCTATAAAGGTCGCTATTAGTTAGTAGTTTTAAGTTTAAGTTTGGCTGTAATCTGTAATACGTTTTAGATAGTTGATTATTGTAAAAATTGTAAAGAGTTAAGTTGTTTAATTAGTGAAGTAAATAGTGCCATAGTGTGTAGTAACGGTGAATAAACTAATAGGAAATTATTGAAATACGGCCGCAGTTGACTGTGCCATTTTAGTGCCGACTCAAAATTGACTGTGGCGGGCGTTAGTTTGGCTCGCAAAAGGAATTATTGAACAACACGTTGAAGTCGGCAGTGGTGAACTTTGGCAATGACATGCGCATGTCATGTTTTATTTTCATATTCCCAACCTAAAATTGCAAAGTGTAAATACCAATGTATCATACCCCGCGATCTATGTACCACTTGGTTTGATAAAAAACTTGTTTCATGCCCGGTAGAGGCGCTACCAATTAATTTGCGTACGCGTTGTTGATTGTATCTCCAAGGTATCTTCTGGAGAAGAAGGGTGACGACGTCATTTCCAATTAAATGACAAATGATGACAAAACGATAAAGATGAACTGGAAAACGTTGTGCTTCTTGTTGTTTTAATATTTCAGTTTGGTAAAAAGGTGTTTCGTATTGTTAATAAAATGTTATCTGTGTGTATTTGTGGACTTTCACAGTGTTATGTTTAGTGCAAAGACTCTTATTGTTATTTATTTCTGTGTTGTTAAGTGTTGACTTTGTTGACAAGTTGCGAAACGCTAACATAACATTCTTCTTTCTTTGTAATAAACCGTTATTTGTTAAATTTGTATCAAATTGTGTCTTTATCATAAAATAAATTAAAAGCAAATCTAAAAAAATTAGAAGGTAACTGCTCTACAAGCTGCTACAGTGGGATAAGCTCTTTTCATAGACATCAGATGGCACCACATATGGTTGTCCGATCCGTATAACGCGAGTGTCCATTCTATCCCCACTATAAACCTTATTCTATGCAATGTATATACAAAAATTGTTTCTGTGTGTTTGGTTTAGTGGTTCTTCTTGTAGTTTTCTGTTGAATTGTTTTGTTATTTCATCTATATTTTAAAATGGAGTCTATTGGGGGCCGTATTATTAGGGGACGGGGATGGGGATGATGACATACAATCAACAGAACAGGCAAATCGGCAAAAAACCAAACACCGCTAAGAAGCCACTAACCTGTCACTGGAAATGGAAATTGAAGAAATAGGTTTGGTCGGACTCCGTTCAGAATCAGTTCTAAATTGAACTGCACTTGCGCATTGGTTCATATCGAACATATGCACTGGCGTAGCCAGGGGGGGGCAAGGGGGCATTTGCCCCCCAAGACCTCTAAATTTAATGAATAATTCTTCAAAATTAAAATAAACAGTCCCAAAAATAGCGTAATAAACCTAAAAAAGGGGTGTGGCACCCAAAAATTTCGCGCATTGCCTCCTGCAGCGGTCGCGGTGGGGCCGCAAGAAACACTTCCTACAAATTTGCCCCTCCCCAAAAAAAAATCCTGGCTACGCCACTGAACATATGTATGTAAACCCAATGTGCAAGCGCAGTTCAATTAAGAACTGATCCTGAACTAAAACTGAACAAACCTATAAATGTAAATTAATAAAAAAGTGAAATTAACATTTGAATAAGCCTTGACCTCGGCCTTGACGGACGTCAACTTAAAAAAAAGAAGAGACATAGGGACGAGACTGTGCCTGTTTATGGCCTGTTTTTATTTTCCACAAATAGTGACAGGCACAAACTTTATTAGTGGCGGCACTAAAAATAAACAGTACTGCCACAACGCGCACGTCTCAAAAACGTCAAAATATCGCCTAGCGCTATTAGTGCCTGGCATTTTATACTCTTCAATAATTCCCTTGTTATGTTAATTGGAATTTGATTTAGGAATAAACGAACCACAGTCCCGCACCACAGAGACGTGATATTGGTGTCAGAAGTGACATATAATTCGAAGACTGCGAAGTGAAATCCGATTGCAAAATAGTGCGGACACTAGTGTGGACACTTAAGTGAACACTGGGACAGTTAATCAATATAAGCAGTGACAATCACTAAAAGAGACTAAACCGATTGTGTAAATTACCCCAGAAGTGACTGTATAACTGATTTTGACTGTGATAGTGAATTTTCAAGTAAGTTCATGAAATTCTATCCGGGAACCGCGAAAGATATCGAATTTATGACTTCACCGACGTGTTTGCTATATCAATCGACATTCAGAAAAGAAATTTCAAGAATATTCAAGTCATTCAATAGACCGATCTCCTATTACCTGGACTGCGCGCGTCGCTTGTAAGCTGCAGGTGAGCGTCCAATGAGAAGCAGGTTTCTTACAGGCTTACGTCATATTCTTATTCAGGGGCCAGTTCAGAATGAATCGTTCCTTCTTTCTTTGTAACGTGTAATTCAACAAAGAGCAAACTAATACTTTACATATTACTTGAACTCACCGCAGTGTCGTTTAAGGTTATGTTAAATTATACTTGACATATTCCTTTGCAATTTCATTGTGCGATGTTGCCGGATGAAAAATTTATCAAAATAAAAGTGCAAACGATGTTAACATACACTTTTCAAGCGCTTCTTTTGTCTGATTTAAGGCGTTGTAAAACACTCGACACTATATCACTTCTTTAATGTGATAATGTGGGATTTGTATTGTCTACATTTGTTCTGCTACAATACAATCTGGCTACACTGCACCTACGAGATGCGCGCGCATGTCATCTTTTATTACTTTCTAACTTGTATTTATTACAATTAAGCTCTCTTTTCCTATTTATACGAGACAGGTCTATTTGTGACTTCACGAAGTGTTTGGAACTTCAATCAAAAACCAGGAGAGATATTTGAAGTGATTTTGAGGAAAATTCCAGAACATTCTGTATATGCCTATTA